TTTTAAAGAAAAAATCAATGAGAAAATAAAACAAACATAGATTATATATAATTAATTTAATATCAAGTAAACATTACAGGAACAGTCATTTCACCTGATTAGAAAAGTTCCTTATTAAAATTATAATATATAAATTCATTTACTCACTAATTAACATAAAATGCTTAATTAATCAGTTCTTTCGTATTATAAAATCGATCTGTACAACCCGACTTACAATTATTGTATATATGTTAAGAAATAATAATAATTCTTCTTCACAATAAATTACAATACATTATAAGAATCATCAAAATAACATACATTTCATACACACGAGCCAATTTTGCATGGATACAAAACTGTGTGTGTGATGTCTAGGTTATCCCTAGGTTTCTAGCCTACGTGAAGTCTGGACTGACGTGATGATAAATTTAAAAAATACTCTCATTAATATTTTCATATGGTCATTCATATTTCACATAATTAAGATAGTGCCACACTTACCGGCAAATACCACTGGAAAAATAAATTCGGATTATTAAAAATAAAATCACATAGAATTAAACGATTAATGGTCCCTAAACAAAATGCTGCAAACGCATCTCAGGACGGCATATTCAAATTTGACAAAACTTAGTACTTGGTAAACTCAGCACCGAGGTTTGTTGCAGTTTATAAACATATATTGTGTGGAGCTCTTTCAAGCACACTCTAGATTTCTAGATATTTTTCTTAAAATTAATGATATGAAATACAAGCTTATTACATCTAAATCATGTAGACTTCATTCGTTTTTAACATGTTCATTTCCAATTACGACGTCTGCTTACGCTGCTATTTCATGCAACCGCTCACGCGTGAAAGAGATGGTAATACTTTGTAAAGGCAGATAAATTTCTAAAGAGCTTCTGGGTAAGGGGTTGAACTATGGGAAAGGAACCATTCGAATCACAGTTTTCTTTTTATTTTATGTTACGGCATCCCTTGATAGAATTCGGCCAGTGTCAAGTCGCAAATATTTTCGGTTGGCAATGAACTCATTAAAGTACATGTTTAACAACTAACTTTAAATTCATCCACAGGGCAATGATATAAAGGTGGTAAACGACTAGATCGATTTAAGACCAGTGATGAATTGTCTACATGAAAAACTAAGATCGTTACAAGTGCATTATTAGTTTTCGGGTCTAGGATGGGGTGAATAACAGTTATATTGACTACCATAGCTTTCAAATCGAAACACAACAGTGAAAGCGTTATTTAGCGGCAGAAATACGAACTACAGGGTCAAGACTTGAAGTTGAACAGCCTGATATTATAACATTATCTTATATATGTGTGGTTTCCAAATAATAACAATGTATGATAAATAAATTATTCACATCTAAAAATCCCACGATGTGTCTCTTCTCTCTCTCACTCTCTCGTTCGTGTCGTACTATATATTGACTTTATAGTACAAAAAAGACTCTGCGTAGCGAATTTGAAGTTATTTTGGACTAACGAACAAATTTGAACAGATTATTTAATAAATTAGTTAATTCCAAATTAAAGCTCCGAAAGATAGCAACACTAACTTAGTCCGTGTCATCAACGAGTTTCCCAAAAATATTAGCGAGTTCAACCGTATTTCCATCATATTAGCAGATGAGTACCCTAAATCACTACCGACTTAGATTTCTTTCAAAGTGATTTTGGGCTCTCTGGCAATAATCGGTGGGAAGTTCATAAGACTAGAATGAATGGCATGTGCTTATTAACTAAATATCAAATTAAAAAAAAAACAATATAACAACAGTAATCAACCAACAATAAGAATAAGAGCATTGCGATATATTTTAACAATAATTAACTGTTCAATAACATCCATTTACATAATGTATGAAAATTAATGTAAATGTCACTCGATATATATATTTGAGTGTCGTGCCCCGCTGTGAATTTGTCGATGAACTTTACTCGTTTATTAAAATAACGTCGTAATGATTCAAGGGTACGATCTACGAAACGTTGTAGATTGAAGGTCAAACAGACGCAAGGTTTTTTTTATATATCACATTTGATATCTACAAAGACCCTTTTTACTGGATACGAGGCATTCCATCTTAGTTCTCGGTTGTGAAAACGCATCTGCACGTTGATTCTTAATCGAAAATTTTTAGTTAGTCTACTAGCTAGTCTACGAACCACAGTATCCATTTACCATTAGCTAGACTGTGTGCTCGTTTGTGTCATACCTACTCTATTTGCAAAGAAATGTGCTTCTCTACTGACTTCAAAAAGGAGACTGTACACAATTCGACTGTATGTTTTTTTATGCGTGTTACCTCATAACTTTTTAATGGGTGAACCGATTTCGATGATTTGAAAGCTGGTGCTTTACATGTGATCCCATATAAATTTGATCAAGGTGTGACCAATAGTTTTTGAGTTATTCTTAATAATTTATATTGAAGTCGATTCTACAAAATGTTTAATTTTAAATTGTCTATTAACATGGATTTAAGAAGGAAACAAGTTATAAACACGAGTATCCTTTCTGCTTACACCAAATGGGACCTAGTATTATATCACATCACATATTGACCTCATGTTACCATTATCTATAAATGGACTTTATAGATAATGGTAACATTGGAGATAAGCCGAACATTATCGTCTGCAACAATTCAGTCTGTCTGCGACGGTTTTATCGATTAGGTGCAATTTAAGCTAACGACCTCTATTAATAATTTAAAAACATTGAACGGTAACGTGGTGTTCGTATCCGGTAAAATAAAAACCGTGTCGCAGTGATCTCTGCCTGCCATCTTTGCAGTCGTGACTGACGTGAAAAGTATACACGCCCATATACAATACCCTTATGAATAACGCTAAAAAAAAACAAATAACATAAGAAACAAACGGAGTTTTTATAGTACAATGGTGATAAACGAGCACACAGTCCACTTGATGGTACGTGGATGATGCTGTGACCCTTAAACATCTAGATCTATCCTCGGTTAAGAATGAAAAAGTAGATGCGTTGTCACCCCTAAGGATAACAGGAGAGACGCTGGTATTCATGGAATATAAGGGATGATCATAATTATAGTTAGGGATCTGAAACCAGGATAATTCAAGTATTAGAGATTAATGTAACTATAAATATATATGTATGTTTGTATTTCGGATACTCTAATTACATTTATAATCAGATTCAAAATCAAAACGGATGTCGCGAAGACACTATAAGGATATCCAATTCGTAAAAAATTCCCAAAATCACATTTATATCCCCTCTAAAAATAAACTGACGCAAGCGAAGTTTAAAAATAGTCGCCACATCGAACGAGAGACAGACGACAACGTTATCTTGATGCTCAAATAGTTCGACGCTGTTTTTATTGTTACCATACCGACACAGCCAATTAAACATGAACATCGTGTAAACACAGATAATTAACCGTTTCGCTACTTACAATCTACTATAATAAAAACAGTGAGAATTTATACACATGGGAGTTAATTCGATAACGAAATAAATACTAAAAATCTTTTACATACGCTGGAAACATTTACCACTTCGATGAACATTTGATAGGTTTGAAATTTAAAAAAAAATTAAAAATTTAATGGCTAAGAAAAAATATTTAACACTGTGTTTCTGCATCGGTAAACAGTTAAGCAATGAAATCAAAATATTGAAAACTATCTTTCTAGATACTTATCTTAAAGCCGTCGATGTCGTGTGTTGAAACGCCAAAATTATGTTTTTTTTTAATTAGGCGTAGTTAAAGGTAAAACCAGCCTGCTTCTTCTCAAATCACTACCGATAGTAATTATTATTTAAGTATTAAATGATAGCGATCTTGGCCTCGATGACTTCTGTGAGAAAGCTGCTGTCCAGTAGACTGAAGATCAGGAATCTTTGTATTTTAAAATTTTGGCTTCCGCGTAACCTAAGCACCTAATTATAAGCTTACAAGATATACGAAGAAGTCCCAATCCAAACCTTTTCTGCCGACTTCCAAAAAGGAGACGGTACTTAATTCGACTGTATGTTTTTTTTGTGTGTTACCTCATAACTTCTTACTGGGTGAACCGATTTGGATGATTCTTTTTTTATTTGAAAGCTGGTACTTCTCGTGTGGTCCCGTATGAATTTGATCAAGGTCCAAGACCAATAGTTTTTGAGTTATTCTTAATAACTTATATTGGAAGTCGGCTGTACAAAATATTTATTTTTAAATTATTAGATGATAAAAATAAACTTGTATTTCATATTTCAGATTTGCGTAAATCTGCAACTTTAGTCCTGATACGTAACTGAATGTTAGGTAATAAGTAAGTAATAAATATTATAATTCAATGTAGCGATCGAGTCCGACCGACCATTTATACCCGTCCTTAGATAAAGCAAGGGACATACGTTCGTTCAACTCCTTTTTATGACATTTATAAAACCAATTTAAAATTATCAACACTTTAAAATATTTTTTAAATCGTTGCATATTCACCAGACTTCACGTGTACGCGGTATTTTTTTTTTGCTCCTGATTCCACCTAGTTTGGCACTAACCTAACTGTTAAAGTGTTGCTGTAAACAATATTATTATTTATTGCCATTAAAAAATAAAATATCGTCTCATAGAATTAAAAACAGTTCATAATATAGTCTATACACTAAATATAAAACGCCGAATTCCAAAAACGGGACATTTGGCTAATATATAGACGATATGAAATCTTTTATATATTGACTTCGTAAACCACTTATCTAGTAGAAAGTATTATCGACAAACATCTAATATCAACACCTTTTTTTTTTAATTTAACTTTAAGCTTATCGGAGTTTCATGTAAAATATAATTACCTTCCCGAGTACAAGAGACACAAGAGCTTCCAAGTCCAGCACCCAATCAGCCGATGCACTTAGAATTATGGCACTATCATCACAGAAACTCACCACCTACGGGTGGTGTTTCCCCAACACGAGCACTATTGGTGAGCATTGACCAAAACGACCGACCGAACTTTCACCAATACGGAGTGCTGCTATTGCTGTCTGACCTAGCTGACCAGGAGTTGCCATAATTGATTCTAGCGCAGGAAATACCCGGCGTGCTTCTGGCGGACGATTTCTCTATCGTGTAGTTCTTCTCTTTATTGTTGTCCCAGTATTCGTTGCCTTTACACCTGAAGCCGACGCAGAAGTCCAGCCGCCGAGAATGGATTGGCAATTGAAGGCGGAATCCGAAGGTGTCGTACGTTGACACGCCACCCTGAGACATCGGCCCAGACTCTATGAAAGCGCAGTACGTATCCTCGTGCGTGGTCCAACCATCCGACGTGGTCCTAACGAACACTTCCTTAGAGAAGTCCAGGTTTTTTACTTTCACAGTGCCATCCACGGCACCCTCATTTTGTTTCACGATCACATTCTCCAAGGACACACAATCCTCGGTTATCCGCCTCCGGAACTCCAAGTAATCTGACGCTGGCTGTACGAAGCGAGTCTCCCACAAATCGACGACAGGTGTCGGCGGCGGTTTCCTCTCCAGCGGTGGGCTGGACACGACTTTGAACGACCAATACGGCGGCACGTGCGACGGTTCCGTCATAAACTTCACCTGCTCCAACGCGAGACCTCGGTCGTCAGCGAACACGACCCGTTTCTTCTTTTTTTCGGTGGGTATCCGTAAACAAGAACGCGGCGCAGTTTTCAAAGTGAGCTGCACCGGTTTTAGCACCGACAAGCACGGCGCTGAATAGCCTCGGGTGGTAATTTTCGTGGGCCGCCTCGGCGGTGTGTAGTCGGCGAGAAAACCGGCGGGTGGACTGTGACCGTAGAATAGTTGCTCCGACGCCAGCATATCGATCGCCGCACACATCGCGCGATCCTGCAATGAGAAACACGCACTCAGTTTCACTTGAACGGTGGTACTAAACGGAATTTATGTTGCACCGCGCTTTTATAGCCGCGCGGGCGCCGGCCACGCGTCTGATACGACGCGTGTAGGGCAACATTGATTTTGTAATTCCGCGTACAAGTTTATCAAGGTATAGGAACTATGTAATTGGGTCAGGAGCGTTATTCTGTAAATGTATTTTCGTGTTGTATGTATAATTTGAATTCGTACGGTCTTTTATGATTACGCCCTTGTACAGTTTTAGATAGGTTTGTTGTTTACTGTCGTGAATAAGTCCAGTTGAAAGTTATCATTGAGTTTATTTTTAGATTATATAATCAGAGCAAGGTCAAACGTTTGGTAAATGTTTTAAAAATAAACATTATTTTAAAATATATCATTAGTGACATTTGTGTTTTTTATTACATACTTCAAATTATATTTTTTATATCAGGCTGTGAATAGAATTTGATAAAATTTAATTCACTTGCACTTATAAACGCAATGTTATATTTATTTAGTTTAAATGTGATAAAAACATTAAAATATACATAGAACTGCAATGTAATTAAAAGTGCTCCAAATAGCAATAACAGTAACAAGCAAAAGTTAAAATAAAACAATCGCGCAAGTGATTAATAAATAACAAACACAAACATTGTAATTCATAAATTATATACAATGAGGCTGTTTACAGCAATTATTTAAGCGAGTGTTAATTAAATTAAAAATTTAATTAATTTAATCCTAAAGAAAACAACAATACAAACTGGTTTTGCGATTATTTTGATAGTTTTTTCTTCAAAGGGAAAAAAATTAAGAATCGTCACTTTCACCTTTCCTATTTGATATTTTTCGAATCCGTAGACGGATGTCTTGCAAAGCCCAAAAAAACCCATGATAGTAAGAGATGGAAAATATAACGAGTGAACTACACACAATATTTCAACATGTGATGGTTACGTAATAAAACCTCATTTAAACCGCATTTAGTCATAGGTAGGTAAGGAGGGATTATGGCAAATGCCATAAAGATCTCATAGAATCCGAAAGGTAACCGAATAACGGTTTTATATAGCTATATTACTAGTATAGTTGTCGCACGAATGAGTCGGCTCGACCGGGGAAGGACCACGCTCTCACAGCTTAAAATACCAGCGTAATATGGCAGCTTGACACTGCTGTGTTTCGTATGGTGAATGTAAAGAACCGGAGACCCTTTTTACTGGAAAATAGGCATTCCATGTTAGTCCCCACGGGTGACGACGCATATGCATTTTGATTTTTTATTGAGGATAAATGTAGATGTCTATAGGCTACAGCAACCACTTACCATCAGGTGGACTGTGTGCTCGTTTGTCACCCTATCCTATTAAAAAAAAGCATCAATTTAAACGTGGTAAAGCCACGCTGCAACTATATTAGTAGTACAGTTGTAACACGAATGGGTCGACTCTATCTGGGAAGGACCACGCTCTCACAGAATACCAGCGTAAAATAGCAGCTCATCGCTGCTGTGTTTCGTATGGTGTTTCGAGTGTAGAGAACCGGAGACCCCTTTTACTGTAAACGAAGCACTCCATCTTATTCCTCACGGGTGACAACGCATCTGCATTTTGACTCGTAGTAGAGGATAGATGTAGATATCTATGAGCCATAGCAACTACTTGCCATCAGGTGGACTGTGTGCTCGTTTGTCACCCTTATCCTTAAAAAAAAAACACCAGGCGTAAATATTCAGACCGGCGACGGGGATCAGCGTAAAATCTGTCTAGCTCATTATACATTTGGTACTGCAATCGTCAATCTATCCGCTAAACCTAACGATTATAGCAAATTATTCCCACAACAAGAGAAGGTTTTTTTTATTTATTTTCTTCCAATTATACAATAAACGTTTTCATCTGCCAAACTGCATTACAGTTTGTCGGCAGTGGTTCTCGTCTTACATGCTTTTTTTATAGGATAGTGTGACAAACGAGCACATAGTCCACCTGATGGTAAGTGGCTGCTGTGGCCCATAGACATCTACATTTATCCTTGTTTGCAAATCAAAATGCAGATGCGTTGTCACCCGTGTGTACTAAGATGGAATGCCTCTTTTCTAGTAAAAAGGGTCTCCGGTTCTCTCTCTACACTCACCATACGAAACACAGGAGTGTTAAGCTGCCATTTGACGCTGGTATTCTGTGACGGTCCTTCCCCGGTCGAGCCGATCCATTCGTGCTACAACTATACTACTAATATAGCTGCAGCATGGCTCTACCACGTATAAAAATGTGCTTCTGTTTATATAATCTGAAGTATAATTTCTTATACATATACTAACATCTCACAACCTATTTTATTATTTTATTTGTACATATTAGTACAAAGTTCGTTATGAGGTCCACATCAGCCAAATATTAAATTTGGTTCAAGCTCATACCCAGCGGTGGACTTCTAATGGCTGACATAGAAAAGAAGATTTACGCACAACATCTTATACTTGGTAGAGCCACCATTCATTCATCCATTACAGCCTTTAAAATTCCACTGCTAAACATAATCATCCCCCATAGATTGTCCCTTAAGGGGTATTTTGCCGTAGTTACCATCCTTGGGAAGCGATTTGACGACCGCAGTTTCTCTTTTGTTGTTATCAAGAAGACGCTGCTGCCCATCTGTTCAAGTTTCCCTCTGTCGCCTCTTACGACACCCACGGGGTGATATGGGGTTGTGGATATTCTTACACCGCCACTACATGGTTTTGGTAGCATGAATGGCTCGACTCAACCGCGACCGACCGGCTGTATGGTATTTCATCTCAGTCCTCATATGTGACAACGCATCTCTAGCTTTCTTTGTGTAAGCTACAGATGCCCATGGAATAAAGTAGCCATGATATGGATGGTATTGATGCTCAATTGGACTGTATGTTCGTTCATCACTTTAGTTTTATAAACAAAGCAAGCTCTGATTTATAATTTAATAGATAAAATTTAGGTGTGAATAATCAGTTTATTCGAACATACTCTTAATATCTCGCCCTCGTTCGGCTAAACTCGCCCCCGATTTCACACCTACAAGCATTTTATCACGAAACCTAACGAATCATGCTCTCTGCCTTACGAAATTGTGTTGTCGTAACCCACCTAAACTTACCACTGCAAATACAAGGCAAGTTACTGGAAATGTGGCATTTCATCTTAGTCCTCAGGGGTGACAACGCACCTGCATTTTGATTCTTAATTCAGGACGACGGCTCCATGGCGCAGTGGCTTAGCAATGAGTTGCAGCGCTACGGATCGCAGGTTCAAATCCCGCACAGAACACTAATTTATATGGCCTACAAATTATTGTTCCAGGTCTGATTTTTTATTCTTCCACGATATAGGAGAAAACCCTAGTGTGGGGGAAAGATAAGTAGATGCCTATAGGTTACGGCATCCACTTACCATCAGGTAGATTGTGTGCTCGTTTGTGACCCTTATTCTATAAAAAAAACACTTTCACCGCTAGAGACTGTCCGCCGTAAAGAAAACAGAGTGGTCACCCTAAGTTTCACGCGACGATCACTGACACTACCACTGTGCGCGCGTGATAGCATTTAATGCCACGGGCTTTTGTGTGAACACGTTTCTCTACCTGTCCCCTTGCTATAATGGCAACTGTTCCCGTCACCTTTTTCCTATATTAAAGACCTTACCTCAATTAGTAAAGACCACACACAAAGATTTTCCCCTGTATCGTGGAGGCAGTTTACACACATAAATTGCAAGGACAAACATCCAGACCAGAAACAATTAATACTTGTTCCGTGCGGGATTTGAACCCGCGACCCTGAACTCTAAGCCTTGCTAAGCCACTGCGCCACGGAGCCATCAATATCGGATATTGAAAAGGATGATGGGACAGATTTCTCATAGTCACTCCAACATGCATATGTGCAATGGATCGGCTCGCCCGGGGAAGGACCACGCTCTCACAGAATACCAGCGTAAAATAGCAGCTTAACACTGCTGTGTTTCGTATGGTGAGTGTAGGGAACCGGAGACCCTTTTTACTTGAAACGAGGCATTCCATCTTAGCCCTCAGGGATGACAACGCACCTGCATTTTTATCACTGCACAGCGTATACTAGTACAGACTACAGGTTCCGCTTTCTCACAATGACCAGTCATTAATAAAGCGTTTAGTTTCGTCAATACGCTGTCATCTATACCACTGTTGAAATAAAACCAGTTTTTACGGATTTTATCGCGTATATCAACTTATTTTATATTCCCGTAGATCGGAAAAAGCATTAATAATTTTAATCAGAAGGTGGTCGTGGTTAACTATGATATTGGGACGTCGAACACCTCAGTCCCCCCCGTGACCATGGGTGGTGTAAAGTGCTCGAAACGTCGGGAATATAAAATAACTTAATATACGCATATAAAATCCGTAAATAACTACTTTTATTTCAATATGTAGTATTCGCGCAAACATAACAAATCATTACTAAACACTGTTATTGGAAGTAAACGATTAACTTTTATTTATATTCTTAATAGAGGATAGATGTAGATGTCTATGGGTCACAGCAACCACTTACCATCAGGTGGACTGTGTGCTGCCATACTTCATAAGCAAGGAAGGCTAAAGAGACGCGTTGACACCCCAGCAGGGCTAGCATGGGCAGGAGACAATTTTAAAGGGAAAGGAGAAAACGTTTATCCCCTCGCTTAGATTTATCCACCCTTCGATCATGGGCACACCGGTGGATATAATATCCACAGTAGATAAAATGGGAGATAGACTTAGATAGATTTTTTGTATGAATATAAACGTTAAACCCACGTCTAATGAACTGGGATAAAATTGTTTCTTTCAAACGTCAAAAAAGCATAATTTTTTATTTTTCATTTGGCTCCACGCTACGGACAGGGGATATATGTCTACTCGTTACGTCAGACGGGGATCTACTTCTCTCCGTTGCCGTGCTTTGGCATAGGGAC